CCCCCCAAAAAAAAAAGAATTTGTTCTGAACAAAATAGGATATATATGAATTAAAGGAGGGTTGGTACCTGTTCGTTTTTATTCTTCTCCTTTTTCTTTTGGTTGAATTTCTGGTATCATGTTACGGATTTGTATTCCGGAAGCTAATTTTTTTATTTGTCTGATCTCTTTTACAGTGAGGCAGGAAATTAAAGATAGGTTTTCTGGTGCTGTTGAGGCGTTTACTAGAAGGAACGTATCTGGAACTGGTTTGCAAGGGGACCATTTGAGACACCACAGATCTTCAGAAGATGTACCATCATCCAAGGATGTGGTAAGTGGCGAATGTGATTATCTTTTATCTGCCTGAAGCCTGTGGGTTCTGTACAATATTTCTGCATCCTCAATTTTGCATGCATCAATTTGTTCCTATGTGGAGCTTTCTTAGTGTTGGAACTGTTGATTGCGGGTTATCTTTTGATGCACTGTTTATATTGTCAGCAAGCTGATACTGAAAGAGGCCGTGTAACTCGGACCGGTAGCACCTCGAGGAGGGCGGCTGTAATGGGAAGCAGCCGACCAAGCTCATCTGGTGAACCCACTGACAATCGCACTGGTCGTTTGGGTTCAAGTAGTGGCCGTATTTCCACTACCCAAAGAGTACAACCTGGATTTGAGTCCAAGTCATCATCTTTTACCCGCGCTACTGCAACAAGAGGCGGTAGGGATGATGCTCTTAGGAGCTTTGAGCTGCTAACTATTGGCACTGGAAGAAGGAAATGAGAGGCTATATGATCTCTAAATCTGCCCCCTCAAGGTACCAAATTTTTTTACCGCTGGCATTTAAGTATTTTCTTATTCTTGATTTTAAGTCCTCTGCTAATTTGAAATTATCTTTACTGGTTTTCGCTGATAGTTGTGCAGCAGATTGAGCAGCTTTCTTTAAGCACTTCCCGACAATCGTGCACTGATTCTTGCAATTGAACAGACTTGCTAAACTTTCAGAGATAGGGGGGCTGTTTCTCTGTTTGTATATTTGAGAATGCCTCTCTAATGTGTGTTGTTGTAGACCGGGATCTGTCTCGAAAATAATAATATTTCACATCTCTGTAAATTGCTTCATGCAGAGATGAGCATAGCTCCTTTTATCTGATGCATGGCTGCTATGTTTGCAAATGGGGAGTTTGTTTAGTGGAAAGTAAATAGTTCATGGTTATGCAGTGTAGTTCCGATTACTTTAGGGGCTACCTCGGTACTTTTTCTTAGTTATGTGGTTCTTGTGTCAAGAAAGATATTCATATACTTTATGTAATGTACCTTATATTTCTTCCTCCAATCTTTCTTCCTCCTTTGTCGTCTTTCCTTAAGCAGAAGGTTTATCAGAAACGGCCTCTCTACTCTCACAAGATAGGGGTAACGTATGCGTACACTCTACCCTCCTCAGGCTGTGGGATTATACTGGGTTTGTTGTTTGTGATTTTTTTGTTGTTAAATCTTTCTTCTGATATGACTGTTACTATGAACTTGAGTTGTCACTAATGAATCCAATTTGATTGGCTATGGCTTAATTACACTTCAATAATGCTCTAGTTCTACTAATATGGAACCAAGTATTTGTGATTTTTCTCAAGATACATCGGTTTTAGTATATGATCAGTGGTTAAGACGAATTTGAGCTTATAATTTTGAATCTCTATTTTCATGGACGAGACTAACAAGGTATCTCATTCTATGGAATTTGACTTGATTGTCAAGAATTTACCCTGTTCTTTGAGATGATTTTGACAAAGTATTCAAGATTTGTTAATAGAAGGCATCTAACTTCATATGACGTTATGGTACAATTTATAAGGAAAAGCTCTGACACTTGAAATTTTTGAATGGAAATGAAATTAATCGATCAAGAAAAATGTTACCGAGAGAAAAAAAATTGAGTAGAAGAATATTGAATTAGTATTAATAGTGATTGCCTCGACTTCTAAGGCACAAAAAGATGGGGCTAACATTTTTTTTCAATTGAAATGCGGATTAGTCGGGCCATTTGGCTTCCCAAATAATTTTTAAAAATACCAAAAATCAAATAAGAACAGTGCATTGAATGAAGATGCACTAATTTTGCAATTTACTCATTTTCATATTAATTGAATTGATTTTACTTTCTGCAAGATCTTACCTTATTTTCTTCCCTTTCATTGCTTTCATAAAACAAAAACAGTTTTAATTTTTCATAAATGAGATTCCTAAAGTACCAATATTCACAAAGGTGAAAAATTTAAAGGTGGATTTCTCTTTAATTTTTGTCTAAAAAGGAAAAATAGTCTTTTATATTAAGTGCATCAATCATTAATTTTTCTTCTTTTTCCATGAGCCAACTTTGATATAGTTGTTCACTACTACCTTGTGTTCTTGTAATATTGCCTCAATCTAAAGAATGGCTTTGTAAGGACAAGATATAATTAGAGTTTACTCGAAAAATCGGATAACGTTAAATTTAAATATGGTTCTAAGGGTATGCAAATTTCTTTGATATAAATGACAATACAGGTATTTTGCATTGTAAATGGAAAATGATGGAAGGGAGGACTGAAAAATATTAGAAGAACAAGTACGATCAAATCTTGACCCCCCCCCCTCCCCCATTGCAGTCTATCTCTCCTTTTATAGTAGAGGGTCACTACTTTATTAGTAACAACATAAAATAATACATATAGTGGAGAACCCATGATGGTTTGTCTCTCCCTCGATTCTCGCCAAGATTCTCTCCCTTGGTGCGGTTGTAACGGCTCTTGTTTTGCGAGCTCGGCACTGACTCGAGCTTGGTGCTAGATCGAATCCCCGGTCTTAATTCGAGCTCGGTTCTGCCTTGGAGCATCGATATTCGGGGCCCGCATCGATCGTCGTTACCCCGTAGTCCGATTCCGACGCGGGTTCGATAATGATATCGAGTTTTGCGGTTGATTGGTCTCATGGCTCGAAGCTCGACGTCTCTACTTCGGCATTCGTCCGAGCTCGCCATGCGGATACTCTTCGATTGAAACGTTATTGTCTCGACCGGTCTTTATGACTGAGAATCGGTTTTGACCGTACACAGATAGTCCCCTCATTTCTCGGAAAGGATGCGGCAAGGAACGATATGATTTCCCTGCGGCTCGATCAATTTTATGCCGACGTTTCTATCGAACCCGATCTCGACGTATGCGATGGCTGTCCCATCGACTTGGTTTTACCGAGGCATTTAATGTGTGTCAGATGGTGGTCGGCCACCGCTGATACCGAACCATCAGGCCTTAGTCTATAAATAATCTTTCCACACAACTTTTACCATTTTTGCGTCTTCTCTTCCTCCAGACTTTCCTATTTATCCTCTCTACTTTGCTGCTATGAGGCCGTTCATACCATAATTTTGCTGCTGTCCACTTCTGCCCTTGCACTCTTTCCTTTCAAATCAATGGCGAAAACTTCCAAAACTATACCTCAGAAGGAAAATACCTCTTCCTCACGGCTGTCTGATGATAAGGCGCCGGTGGAGCCGTTAGTCCATGACTATGTTCCTGGCCCGTGCATTTTGAAAACCGATTTTAAGGTAGAGAACCCTTCTTCCGTTCCGGGTCGATGTGAACACGTATCGATGTATACATGCTCTATAACGGAGGATCACCTCGAGGCCGTCCGAAAGGCATCGACCTCCTCTTACGTCGAGCGTGCTTGGCGTGATTTGGCAAAAGGCAGATGGGAGGCCAAGAACCATGGTGAGGTTTGCTTCTTGTTTCCTTCGAAGTATTCTTTGCGTTCTATTCGTTACCGATTTTCTCTTGTGCAGGTGTAACCGGGGATGCCGTTTTGAGGCCTTCGAGCGGCGAGGAAAGAAACAAGTCCCTGGTCCCTAAACAGGGGGAAGATAAGAAGCGAAAAGCTTCCT